CTGAACGCTCATTCTCCCAATTGTTTGTCGATGACACTGAGCTCACACTCCAGGGAAAATGCAGGGTCTGAATTGAAATGTCGTCCAAAGCCATTCAGCTGGGGCTTTAAAAGAGGCTTTTGTTGGTGAAAATCTCTTTACTGTCCTGACTCTCCCTGGGCTCCCGGTTGCCTGATAAAATACAGGATAATCCGTTCAACTTGAATTTGAGATCAACACCAAATGTTGTTTCAGTGTAAGTATGTCCCATGCAATATTTGGGACATACTCATACAAAAACGGTGTTCATTGTTTATCTGAATGTCAAATTGAACTGGGTGTCCTGTATTTTTATTTGCTAAACCTGGCTGGCAACCCTGCCTGGGCTTGGAGGAGAAGCCTGAACCCTTCTGCCTTGTGCCCAACTAGAATCCAACAGGGTATGTCGTTCCTGTGAAGGAAGCAGACTCTCGGGACACGTTCTAGAAGCTTCACGCCTGTGCTTACTCTACCATTTTTCCTTTAAGAAGATTTTTTAAAAATGACGCAGGCTTTGTAAGTCCTAATACCAGTAACGATAATAATCCTTTCAGGAACTGGGAGATGTCCTGAGGGTTTGGGGGGAATCAAGCTTCCCACTGAAGTTCCTGGAAACCGCACGGTGCCATTCGTATTTAATAAAGGGCAGACAGCGTCGCTGCCCCAGCGTCTCGTGCTGGAGTGGCGCCGGCCTCCCCGGACCCCAGGACGGGAGGCCCCTCTGCAAGAGCCCTGCCGGTGGAGGATCAGGTGCAGGAGTGGGAGGGGCTTTCCTCCACGGCAGTGCTCCCCGCTTCCCTCTCCGCTCTGCATCTGAGAGCACATTCTTGGCATCGAGACTCTCCTACTTGGACCCTTTCTCTTTTCTTGGTTCCTGGCACGGTGAACTTGGCCATTCGCTGCCGTGATGGCCCTTCCAGGGAGAGCCCCATCTAACCATCAGCAGGCCAGCTGTCAGAGCAGCCTCTTCAAAAGAGAAGACACCCTGGGAGGGAGAGGATTTGCCAAGCAACGAAGTGTCTCCGTGTTTCCAGGTGTTTAGTATATGTTTGTGGGTGTGCACAGTGGGGAGTACAAGGACCCATTGTGTTCTGGACTCTGAGGCTGGCCGAGGGCCCAGCAGCCCGGGTGCGTCATGACGCACTGCAACTCAACGCATTTTTATTGAGCTTCAAGCCCGACGCCCTGCCCTCAGCCTGTAAGAAATGTAGAGATAAGACTGATCTCTGCTTTCAAGGGACTTAAACTCAAATAGGGGATAAGGCAAAGAGACAGCCCTGTAACATGCAGAGTGGGATAAGTAGCCTCAGAAGGGGAAAAGCCAGGGTTTTTAAGATGTTCAAGAAAAGAGTGAAAACATTTGCTTGGAGAGTCCAGGGAAACGTGACAGAGGAGGTGGCATTCGATAGGAGCTCTGCTGGGTGGATGAGATTGCATCAGGCGGGGCTTGGAGGGGAGGGCGGAAATGACAATGAGTGTTTTGTTGTGTTTCATGGGGGAATACACCCATTCCTAACCTAGATCCAGAATGAACCACTCACGGTGAGCATGGGCATACCAGGGCTAGGGCTCAAAGCAGAATAGCACGAGCAATTTTATTCTCATGCTTCCTCACCTTGCTGTAGCCTTGACTGGCATGGTATCAGTGGTATTCAGCTGGTCTCAGTGACTGGCATGGACAGCTAGACCAAAACACCAAGCCCACGTGGCAGACATTGTGTTAGGTGATTGACATAGTTTCTTACTCCAAATGAGTAATATTCCTGGGCAATAGCATCATCTCAATCACCAGATTCAGAATACGGTCAAGTCAGTTTATACAAACCCACTTCTTCTGCCCGTCTGCCTACATTCAGGCTTTCTCCCATTATAACACGGTTGGTCTACTCCTTTCTTCCCTCCCGGTTTTTTTTTTTTTTTTAAGGCTTTATTTATTATTTGAGAGAGAGAGAGAGAGAGAGAGAGAGAGAGACAGCATGAGTGAGGGGAGGGGTAGATGGAGAAGCAGACTCCCCGCCGAGCAGGGAGCCCGATGCGGGGCTCAATCCCAGGACCCTGAGATCATGACCTGAGCCGAAGGCAGATGCTTAACCATCTGAGCCACCCAGGCGCCCCCCCCTTTTTTTGGATATACAGTTTTTGTCCATGTGTAGATTCAGTAAACATGACCAGTACGACTCATGTATAACCAATTCCTGTCAAAGTCCTACCCGAGTGGAATCCCGTTGCAGTGAATTTCACTACAACACGGGTTTTGGATTTGTGAGCCACGGTGCCATTTTGAACTCTTGTCATCACTCTGGGTTGCTTTGTATGTAAGCATTACACAGTTACTTATCAAGAAATCATGTAGAGTAAATTTTTGGTAGCCTCTGGTCGCTCTCTTTAGAAATTTTTGATCTTTAAGTGGCGTATTTATGTGATGATTGTTACTGAACACCTGTGTTCTGTTGTTTACTTAATTAGATGTTGCTGGAAAATGGCAGCATTTAGTCATAAAGTTCTGGAGAAGAAATGGCCACCGCTCCTTTCAGAAAGAGGTGGCGGGCTGTGGCAGCCCGTGAAAAGCAACGGCACACTCCTTGGTGTAGAGACCACTTTCCTTGTCAACGAAGCCTCGAGAAGGGAGGAAGAGGTAGAGCTCTGAGTAGGCCCAAGTAACCATTTCCTGATTTAGAAAAAGCGGTCATAGGGAAACACTGTCATACAGACCTAGTGGTTGAGCTCTCTTCTTAGCTAATCTTCAAGGGATTGAACGAGGTTTTTTTTTAAACTAACAGCAAAAAGAAACAATCCCCTTAAAAGTAACCCCCTGGATATAACGCAGACTGGAGTCCCTAGGCACATGGCTGCCTTCTCCCAGGAGGGCCCTCTGCTGAGGCCAGTCAGAGAGACAGTGGCGTGAGTGAGGGCTCTCCCAACAGCCTGGGCACGTTACTTACTCTCTTCATATTTCACTTCCCGTGTCCAGTACATGGGCATCATATTGTTGCTTCCCTGGGCTGATAGGAAAATTCACTTATTCAGCACAGAGGGAATGAGCTCGTCCTATGTGCTGGCTCTTTGCACAGACAGCAGACGGCCCCTGGCTTGATGGGCTGGCTAAAGGAATGGGCGCCTTCAGGGTCAACCACGGAGCCCACACAGGATTGAGGAGGACTGCTGTCCCAGTTATGAGAAGTACAAGCATCTGTACAGGCCCATTTCTCAGGCTTCTTTCAAAGAACATGCTCATGTGAAGCACCGATGAGTAGAGTGTTAGTTTGAAGTTCTAAAGTTGGGGTAGCCCCCCAGCGTGAGCTTTCTGTAGGCCCGGAAACAAGATGCAGTTGGGTTAAGTGGTCATTGATAACAGCAGTGTTTCGTGGGGGAAGGACTTTCCAACTAGAGTCCTAAGGTTGGAATTTCTCTCTTTTTTAAACTCTTCTATAATGACGTATCTGTTATATATAGGTACATGCTAGAAGTTAATAAGTGGTTAGATCAGGTATGTGGATACTTCCACAAATAGTTTTTTCTTTTGTTCTTTCTTTACCTTTCACCCTCCCTCCCTTCTTCCCCTTCCTCCCTCCCTCCCTTCCTCCATCTGAAAAGTATCAAGACTAGATCTTATACTTTGAAAAGCCTAATCAGTTCATCAACAAAGGACCTGTCATAACTAAGGCTCCCTCCATCTACTATAGAAATGGCGGTCATGGGGCACTTGGGTGGCTCAGATGGTTAGGTGTCTGCCTTCAGTTCAGGTCATGATCTCAGGGTCCTGGGATAGAGCCCCATGTTGAGCTCTCAGCTTAGTGGGGAGAAGAAAGAAAAAAAGAAAGAAAGAAAAAAGAAAGAAAAAAAGGAAAGAAGGAAGGAAGGAAAGAAATGGTGGTCATGGTCCTACTAGAAATGAACCAATGTCTCTGTCAACCAACAGAAAATGTTACTGCAGTGTTGCCATATTTGTGGTAACAATATTTATGTACTTGCTATCTTATCTCCCCGCATAAAAAACCACATTATTCCCTCTTAAATATAGATGTCCAAGGTTAACTTGAGACCACAGAAAAGATCTTCCAAGACAACATTTCTTCTAAGTACTATAAAAAAGTAGCAGAGAATGACGCTTTTTGTGTACTGGAGTTTTAACTGCCATATGGTGCAAACTAGACTGTATTTCTAACATATATCAAGGAACAAATCAATCAGTCAACAAACAGTTATTAAATATATGAGTATGTGCTTTGCTCAGCAAGACTCCGTGTTGGATCCTGAGGCAGTTACCCTCCAAATTTAAGTAGACAAATAATAAGACAGAATTTTTCCCTTGGGAATCCGTGACTTTGGGGAGATCACAAGAAGTTAATTAGCAATTCAAAGTCATGTGCATGTGACATTGCTCCTTTCGAACATGACAAACAGGTGAGCACTGGGAGGGCTTTGTGAACACAGGTAGGGTTTAGGTGACTCATTTTCCATAACTCGTGTAATGACAAATCAGGGACAAATGTCTTCCTAGCAGTTTCAGCTGCCATGTGGTACAAGGCAGACTGTATTTCTCATATTTATCAGCTAACAAATTCATCCATCAACAAGCATTCCTTGAGTATCTGCTTTGTGCAAGAACCAGTGCTGGATCTTTTACATTTGTTTTTTAATTTTGGAACTTAATGGTTTTCAAAACATATGTGTTGAGTATTTGAGGACAGACTTTCAACCTCTGTACTGTTCTGGGAGAAGTTGAGCCTCGCTCCCTAGAGCCAGCCTCCCCCTCTCTTCCCAGAGGCTCGGAGGCTATGTATTTGGCATCCCCCAAAGTATAGATCATTTGAAAGCCCAAAGTGTAAGAATGATGGCATCCCGCTGAGCCTTTCTGTACTCATGGGAACTTGGCATCTGAGTAAAAGGGAAGTTGAGGTTAGGAGGCTGATGAATCTTGAGGGACTATTTCCTTAAACTTTAAAGAAGCAAAGTTCCCAGCGTCAGATGGTGGAGTGGCTTTTGTTTAGAAGGAGCTCAGGCAGAATAACCTGGTAACTCCCAAAGCGAAAATACGGACTTGCTCCTTGTTCATTTCCAGGTCTGCTGGACCTGAGCCGGAATGAAGGGGTTGGATCCTCAGATGATGGGACGTGCTGTGGAGTGGCCATGTTTGGTGAGGCTGGGCGTGGCTGACACAAAGTGCACACAGTGAGGAAGGAAGATGTTTGGAAATATTTTTCCGCTTAAAGCCCTGAGATTGCAAGCGTTTTCTTAGCCCTGTGGAATTCCTCTAACTGCCTGGGGATTTCTAGGTTTCTAAGAAGCTTGAGTGGTTGTTAACCTAATACACAGTTGAAGGGAGCCAAGACCATCTTTCCACCCAGCTGTGTGGTAGGGCCCTCTTCTTAAAAGGCTCTTTAAAATCAGGCATGTAAGGGAATCCTTCTTTCTTGAACTAGGGCCTCTGAAACTGGGTCAATGGTTCTCAACCTCATCTTCCAGCTTGCTCTGCTGAAGCACAGTGTAAGCAAATAAATATCAATGAATTGCTTAATGATTTTCATAAGGCCCCATATTTTCAAGGCAAGGGGCTCTCCTGAAATGTTTGATCTACTCCATATGAATCTGTTTTCCAAATGGCCAGCACATGTCGAGGCCTGCTGTCCTCCGGGTTACAGGAAGATGCCTTTGATGGGTTAACCGCAGAGCAAGTGAGCTCTTTTCAAGTCCTTTTCAAAAGTTCCTTTGTCCTGCTGTGGATCTTGCCACTTGCTTCAGATCAGCAGGAGACTGCTCCCGGCAAAGGGTTCTAATACATTCTCACTCTGATCTGGGTTGGGTCCCTGGGTAATGCCATCTCTAATCCGGAGTCCCAAAGGTTGAGGTTTAAGCACCAGGCAGTTAGCAAACAATTACCAAGCTCTGGGGGGGTGGGGGGGGCACTCACTTTTCCAGCACTGTCCACCCAACTTAGGCCTGAACGAATTTCCTTAAAGCCAAATGAAATCATTGTCATTCTCAACCGTCTTGGGGGGAAGACTGGTCTTGCTCTTAACGAAGCTTTTGGTCAGCTGCGTGATGCTGCCTTCAGTGGGGTATCGCTACATTCGAAGGCTTTCCACGTTCTATGGTCTTGTCCATTCTTTCCCCAGGCTAGGCAGAAATGTTCAGATGATACCTTTCTTGACACTTTGCACACACATAGTAAAAGGGTGACTTGGCTTGGTTTATTGCTACAGATTTTTATACATATTCAGGTCACAGTGTGATGAGTGGACATACGTGGATATTATGTAGTTGGGAGGCCATATTAGAGAATCGAAGATGGGGCAGGAAAAGGGAGTTGTGGTCACTGCCCGCATGTGGCTACAGTGCACTGGGGACACAGGGATCGTTGAGGGCCAAGGTACTATATTTTGTTATGTTCTATAAAAGCTAAACCTGTGGTGAGCAAAGCTGAACTTTTATAAAAAAAGATTTATTTATTTTATTAGAGAGAGACAGAGAGAGCAAGCAGGGGGACGGTCGGAGGGAGAGGGAGAGAGAATCTCAAGCAGGCTCCCCGCTGACCTCGGAGCCCGATGTGGGGCTCCATCTCAGAACCCTGAGATCATGACCCGAGTCGAAATCAAGAGTCGGGTGCTTAACCAAATGAGCCACCCAGGCGCCCCCAAAGCTGAACTTTTAATCCAAGAATGTCATAACTATTTATAAAAACATAACAAAATGTACAATAGAGTATGATTAAAGAAAATAGAAATATCTTTTCTCTTTGCTGTTTTGAATATTTTTTATCGCTAATAATACCGTTATTAGGTACCTCTTAACCCTAGATTTCCTATATGCTTTCAAGATAAACTTTGTTTTTTCCTCCCAGCTGTGATTCTGGGTATTCAAAAGCAACAACTGCTGACTTCTCCATACACGCTGCAAACTGCTGGTAGCTTTGGCTCAGTCCAGTAAACAGTTATCAAGTGGTGACTTTGCCGCGCCAGGTAGTATCTTGGCCTTTAAAAGCAGATAATGTTTCTTTTGCATGTTCCCTCTCTCTCTCTCTCCTGATGTTAATTGAAATCCAGTGATGACCACAGCTCTTTTTCAGGCTGCTGACACTTGGTTCTCTTAAATGGTTACTTCCCCCTCACGCAAGAGAGCCTTGCTAATTTCTGACAAGCCTTCAAATTGCATTTTTCTGTTCTGATTAACTGAATCACCGTCCACACAGCTACCTAGTCCAGAAAGCTAGAAGAGGTCCTCCAGACAAACCGCGTCCCGCTTCCAGCCAGTCACCAGCTTCTGCCGGTCTTCTGTCTTGTTGAATGCAGAGGTCCGCCCCCCTGCCCGGCTCTGCCGAGGACTCTTCAACCTCCCACGTCTGTAGCTCTTACCTGGATTTGCTTCCAAATGATCTGCTAATGGTTCTCTCTGCCTGGGTCCTCTTTGCTTTCCTCATCCATTCTTGGCCTTTCTTGTGCAGAGCTCAGATTGTTTTTGCCAGAATTAAAACACAATAACTAGTAAGTCATGGAGTTATGATTCAAACCCATTGGCAAAGACTTTTTTTTCCAAAGTATGATTAGGTGTTGAATTTTGCTGAGTGTTTTCCATTTTCTATTGTAATATGTCAATGAAATGAGCTATGTGATTGATTTTTTAATGTTAAACAATCCTTACATGCCATATAAAATGTATTTTATATGCTATTTATGCAGCTCATTTTGGATTTCTTGCTTATATTTATTTAGTAGTTTTGGGTCTCTGCTTATATGTGAGATTGAGTCCTATTCTGCCCTTGTCTGGCTTTGACATCAGAATTATAATGGCTTTATAAAACATGTTGGGGGGGATGCCTGGGTAGTGCAGTTGGTTGGGCACCTGACTCTTGGTTTCAGCTCAGGTCATGATCTTGGTGTGGTGGGATAGAGCCCCGAGTGGGATTCTGCATTCAGTGCAGAGTCTGCGTGAGATTCTCTCTCCCTTTCCCTCTGCCCCTTCTGCTCGTGCTCTCTCTCTCTCTCCCTCTCTAAAATAAATAAATCTTTAAAAGCAATATGTTGGGGAGTTTTCCCTCCTTTCCTATCCCTTAGAATGGTCCTTTGTTAGGGGTTGTTATTTCTTTCTTGAATTTCCGAGAAAAATTATTTGCAACATCTTCTGGAACTAGTACTGCCTGTGGTATATTTTTGACTATTGAGTTAATTTTTCCCCCCTTACTGGTTATAGGTTTATTCAGTGTCAATTTCTTCTTGAGTTGATTTCCATAATTTATGCTTTCTAAAAATTGTACAGTGTATCTGAAGTTTCAAATATATTGGCCTGAAGTTGTCCATGTGATTATCTCATGATTTTTTAAATATTTACTCTTTCCATTTCAATGTCTCTTTTCATATCTGGTACTGTTTATTTCTGCCTCTTAAAAAAAAATCAATCATGCCAGGAGTTTGTCTATTTAATTACTTTTTTGAAACAACCAGCTTTTCATTTGGTTGATCAGATGACCAACCGCTCACTCTTGACACCACCACAAGAGTAATTCTTAGGGAATTCAAATCCACGTTTGAAGACCTATCTGCGGCTGGCCACCATGCATCCAGGCTCTGACCCCCTAGCTACTCCACCAGCTCATCTCTCCATACTGCGCCCCTCTGCTGTCCCCTCCAGCAACGTCAGATTCCTTCGGGGCCCCCAAATGTCAGCTCCTTTCATGCTCTTTGCTTTTGCATAGACTTTTCTTTTTTCCTCCCCCCCAACCCTCCTAAATTATTCTTTTGGTCGAAGTCTTTAAATTCCAACTCAAGCTTTCCTCCTTTGCACTGCTTTTGTGCCTGGTACACATTCCTATCTTTTTGCCTCCCTTTCTGGACCCTGAAATCCTTGAGGGTAGGGGCAATCTATTTTCCATCTTTATTACTGGCACTTTTAGCTTATTTCTCTCACACCATGTCACTCCTTTTTCAAACAAGAGGCGTAAAAAGGACAGACAAGATTACACTATGTCTTTTTTTCTCTACTTTAAGAGAGGTCAGCATCCAATCACTCCAACTAAGATGCTGACTAAATTAACTTCCCTCTTCCTGCTTTGCCAACGCGTACTTAGCATTGGCTCACCTATTTGCTTACATCTTTAACCTTCCGATTTTCTAAGGCAATATTTTCCTCTTACAAGTTCCAAACTTTTTATGTCTGGCCATTTCAATGTACTTCAAATACCAGACCAGATTTGAATCAGGCTATCTAAAGACTTCCCATCAAGAGTTTATTTCTAAAATTATGTGCTGTTTAATGAAAAGGGGGTGATAATATTTCATGAGCAACCCCGCTACCTTCTTATTTAGGCGACATAGTGCAAATAGGTAATTCAAAGAAAGCTCCATTCTAGCTCATAGCTTTTCTCATCTAGAAACTTCTGAGAACCCAGCTCTACCACTTCACACACCAGCTGGGACTTCAACCAGTGAAAGCATTATCAGTACAAGAGTGATAACGATACATGACCCACCAGATTCTCAGGAGGGCTAAATCATGGAGTTGGTGGGGAAATGCCTTGCCCAGGGCCCAGAACACCGTGAGACGCACTGCACTTCTGTTTAACTTGCGTGAGAAGAAATCCCAACTAAACCCACGGTGCAGATGGTCATTTCTCATTGTCAACCTTATGACCTAGGCATCCAGTGTTAGTCTAATTAAAGGAAATCCCACTTTCTGGGAGGCTCCATTTGCTTTCCAAACTTTTGGGCCTGGAGCAATACCCTTCACTAGTGCGTTTTATTTTCATTGTTTTAATCCAAGGACGATGAATCAGATACTGGGATCTGCAAGTCTTGCATTCTACTTGGAGCATGCACGCACTGGCCAGTTTGGACAATCGGCCCCATGATGCTCTTTTGCTACCGGTTTTGGGGCACCCCAAGGTGTCACAACATTCTGTCCTGTTCCTTCTTTCTGCCCGCTCAGCGCTAACTTGGCAATGCTTATTACCCCAAATCGGGCCATCGATGTTACACCTCGCAAGACAAATCCAGTTCATGTGGTATCTTCATCCCTCTGCTAACTGTGTGTGGGGGGGGAGGGGGGAGGCTATTAACCAAGCCGAAAGGTTCAGCAGAAAGCATTTGCCAACATCCCTTTAAAGTAATGGTCTCTCCTCAAGGCCAGCCGCTCTGACACATCCTGCTGTTGGGAAGAAAACGTTTTCCACACTCTCTCTCTGCCTCCACCTGAACTGCTCGGGAACGCAAAGTCATTTGGTTTTGTCGTTACCCTCACAGCTCCTTACACATTGCCCATTCACTCTGCTGTCTAAATCGGGGGTGAGGTGAAGTCTCCGGGGGGAAGCGTGGAGAGCCAGCAGCTGCCTTTGGCCTGGCCAACTGAACTCGGCCTGTGCCTTGGCCCCGCCCCAGGACCGCTAGAGCTTCTGCTCCCTTTATATTTCCCCAGCATTTGTGAGCAAAACGGGAAGATCGCCCTAGCCTGTCCTGATGGCCTCTCTGTGTTCTTTGGGCCTGGGTGGACTTGTTTGGGGCAGGAAGAGAGGGAGGGGACCTGGGCCTGGGCCAGGGTCTGCACACTTCCAGTCTGCCTGGAGTTGTCCAGAAAATGCTGACCTATATTCCAGCGACACAGACCAGTTCTGAGGAGGACGCAACTGCCCCCTTTCCTCTGCCAGGAGGGCAGCCAGACCTGCACATGCTGTTCTCCCTCGTCAGCCTTCAGGCACGACGGGGCACAAGGGGGCCATGGGGGTGGGGGCGTCAGCCCCCATGGCCTGTGCCTCAGGACCTCCCCACGCTGCCTGCCCCTCCACGGGCACAGCAGTAACAGAAGGGCACAGAAAAGTCCATCCCCTGGGTTTGTTCAAAATTATTTCCTTCCAGCCTTTGTCTTTGGAATGCTTTGCTGCATTTCTTTAGAGTGGGCAGATGGTAGGATGCTGGAGGTGTAAAGCAGTGATGAAAACCGAGATGATTCAAACAGAAGGAATATGTATAACCCCTGCTGGACCATCCTGATAGGAATCAGGAGAAGTGGCGTTTTGTTTTTGTTTCTTTTCTAGGATCTTTGAAGTTCTCATGCTTTCCCACCCCTCCCCCCAACCCCCTTTTAGAAAGAAGGATGATATGTAAATGCGCCACTTTGAGGGCTTGGTGGGGGGAGGGGGGGACTGGTTTCGTGTGTGTTTTTTTTTTTTTTACGTTCAGTTTATTTTGAGGATGAGCCCAACTGAAAGACTTCAGGGCAAGACCAGTCGCTTCGAGTAGATGGCCGGAAGCGAAAATGGGACTCCCAGAGAGAAGAGCCGACGCCGGGCAACCAGGGATGGTGCCATCCAGAGCACAGGAACTGTGCTTAAAAGAGATAATTTCAAGTTGAGCTGTGGTTTACCACAGTGTCCTCGTGATCAGTCGAGTGGTCAGATGTCAGGGGTGACTGAAAATAAGTTCATTTTCCCACAGTGGAAGAGAAGAGAAAAAAAAAAAAAAAGCACAGCCCTGCCCGTAGGAAACAAATATTGCACATTTCAGAGTTTGGCTGGAGTAGGCTTGAACATGGACCGCCATCCATGTGACTTTTGGGAAGAAAGCTGAAGAAACAACAGTTATTGCTCTTGATTAGCATAACATGTTGCCCATCCCCCCCTCCCTTCTTCCATAATGATCACAAATAGACATTCATGGCCTGATTTCTTTGCCCCAGTGTTCCCCCCATTTGAAAGATCTCTCGGGAGTGAGGGTTGCGTGTCTATGGTATGATGTCGCTGGTGGGAAGATGGGAAGGATGGCGGGTGAAAGGTCCGGTGATCGGTCACGCAGTGCGGGCATGGGAGCTGAGCACTGACCCAGGGTCCCTAGACCTTCCAGCTTCGGCCTCGGGTGGCGCCGGGCTTGGCGGGCCGTGCCACCTGCCGAGCCCTGTCTTCATGCCGTGTGTGCCGGAGGGCTCTGGGACTCAAAGGGTTAAAGTGTCATCTGCAATGGGCAAAATGGCTCAACCCCAGATTCATCCTGTGTTGGCCTAGTTATGTGTCACTGTGTGTGCGTAATTTTTTTCCCCCTTTTCAAATACTATTCTCTTTCATGAGCTCATATCCTAAAATGTCTCCTTTCTAATTCAGCAAGAGGGATTCCATGGTTCGCCACCCGGAACAGGGTGCTTTCTTCCATCACCCAGGCCAGAAAAGCACTGAAAATCTCAAAGGTGGAAACACAGAGCATCAAAGCATGGATTGGAAGACCAGAGGCTTGATTTGGAAAGCACACACCAGGCAGCCCCAAATCCCACATCCCGATGCCTTTTCTTTCTCTTGTCCTTTTGTTCATAATGCATGCATTCTGACCTCATCTCCTCCATCCCACTGAGCCCGCACCACCTTGAGCGATTCAGTGGCTGTAAACTCCCCTGCCGACTTTGTTTTGGCTGGAATTGCAACCCGTATATGGGAGAATCAAGCTGAAACATCACAGGGCTAACGGCGCGCCTCTGTGCAGTGGTGGCTGGTCAGGAGAAAAAGGTGACATCATGGCTATTCCAGGACTTTGGGTCCGCAGCATAAGTGACTTCCCTGCTGCACAGCAGAGTCAGAACCTGGACCCGCGACAAAAACAACTCTCCCTTCCCATAAATATCTGCGCTGGGGCTCAAAAAATATTCTAAGTGCAACGGCTCAGAAATGGTCCCTTGCCTTGGAGACCCATCCGATTTTCCAAATCCAATCACAAACTTTTTAATAGCATGTCATGAACCTCTCAGCTCATTATTTCTCTTCAAAGCCCTCCGGTTGGCCAGCTTGGAGCCTGTGAACTGTTGTTTGATGATGTGTTGCACCATAAATAAACGCATAGGACATACTAAAAATCCATCCTTTACTACTTCTGGCTTTCCCACTAGGAATACTGCCATATAATCAGGGATGTGTGATTTGCAGCAATTGCTCTGAATTGTGGATGCTTTTTTTTTTTTTTTTTAACATGTCCAGTGTGTGATGTAGGTAATAGAACAGATTTATCACGGTTACATAAATCTCATTTTTTTTTCTCTTCCTGTTCTGTCCCGTCTCCTCTCACCCCTCACATGGTTAGGACGTTGGGAGCCAAGAGTAAGAATATAGACAAACCCTCTAAAAGAGCAATCACAGCTCTAACCATTCCTCCCAGTAGGAAATCAAGGCACTGGATAATTTACTATGCCTTTACTATCTGTTGTTCCCTCTGATGTTTTTAAGTTGTGAGGAGACAACCATTTTACATGTGTAACTAGCCATGAAGGTTGGCATACAGGACGGAGGTTACTGTTGTAATCAAATAAAGCTCATACAAGCTAATCGGACATGTGTTGTGACTAACTTCTTTTCACTGTATGGTAATTAGGCAAACATGAGAAGCAGTCAACCCGAATAACCATCATTTGTACTGTTTTGCTGTGATTTGTGGTGAGATGAAGATGGTGTTTGGGGGCAGGGACAGGAGAACACCCGAATCCTGTTCTCAATCGGCCTCCTTCCCCACCCTCATGGTCGCAGAGGGTAACATATGCACAAAGCTATGCACAGGAACTTTTCATTAATACCCTATGGCTGTGGACACAAAGCCCATCACATGGCCCAAGAAGCATTACTAGAAAAATTGTAAAGTGAAGTATGTTAAGGCTTGGTATATAATAAGTGTATTAGGGAGTATTAGGGAAACAGAACCAATAGGAATATATATATATATATATATATATATTCCTACATATATATATATATTCCTAAATATATATATGTATATACACACATATATAAAACATATACATTTATTATAGGAATTAATTACGGTTATGGGGAACCACATGGTTATAGAGAACCCCAGGAAGTTCCACAGTCTGCCATCCGTAAGCTGGAGAACCCAGAAAGCCAGTGGTATAATTCAGTTCAAGTCCAAAAGCCTGAAAATTCGGAAAGTGAGTATGGCGTCAAGCCCAGTCTGAGTCTGAAAGCCTGACAACGAGGGGTGCTGGCGTCTGAGGGCCGGAGACAGATGTCTCAGCTCAAGTAGAGGGAGCAAATTTGCCCTTCTCCCACTTTTTTGTTCTAATAGGCCTTCAACAGATTGGATGATGCTCCCCTGTATTAGTGAGGCTGATCTTTACTTAGTCCACGGATTCAAATGCTAATCTCTTCTTGAAACATTTTCCCAGACACACCCAGAAATCATGTTTTGCCAGCAATCTGGGCATCCCCAACCCAGTCAAGTTGACCCATTAAAATTCGCCATCACAGTAAGTATGTGTGGTAGATAGTGTCTTTGGCCCCCTCAATATGCCCATGTCCTAACCCCCAGATTCTGAGAACATGCTATGTCCCATGACAGGGAGGAATTAAGTTTGCTAATCAGCTACCCTTAAAAGAAGAACCTTATCCTGATTACCTAGGTGGGCCCAGTATGATCCCAGGGTCTTTTACATGTGGAAGAGGGAGGCGGAAGAGTGATTTTCCAGGTGACTGATGCCGTTGCTGGGTCTGTAGGAGGAAAGGTCCATTAGGCAAGGCATGCAGCAGCCTCCAGGAGTAGCAAAAGGCAAGACAGTGGACTCACCAGAGCCTCAAGAAAGGAATCCAGTCCTACCAGCAGGTTAATAGTAGTCCCGTGGGACGCATTTTGAATTTCTGACCCTCAGAATTGTAAGATAATAAATTTTTGTTGTTTTGAGCCACTAAGCTTGAGGTAACTTTTTACAGTAGCCATAGGAAACTCTTCGAGTACTTAATGTTAGCTAGTGATTTAATGTTTTCCCTTATCAAGTGATATCCTTTTTGAGGATCCGTTATTATCTGTTATGAGTGAATTCACAGAGATCCGCATCACATTTATGGATCTAGTGTCTCAGTGTGGATTCATTTTCACTTCAACATCTGCCGCGTGTTCTCAAAATAAACGCTAGACAGAGCAAGCAGTTACGAGCACAGGATCTTGGCGTATCATTGTCTGATTGCAAGCAACAGAAACTGACCATCTGACTGAAGCAGGAAAGGAAGTTGTTGGCAAGATATTGGGTAGTTCCCAGAATTAATTAAGGGGAGGATCAGACTTAGCAGAAGTCCGGAAAGGTCAAGACGTGGGCAATAGAGTCAAGGTCAAAGCTGGCAGCGTTTGGAGGCTGCCCCTAGACACTCAGCTCCAGTGCTTCCAGACTCCCAATGGTACCACAGCTTCTGTTGAATAATTGTTGAACTCTCTATCTTTGTGTCCCTCAAGACTGCGAGTTCTGGACAGAAATGTCCAATGGGGCTCCTGCAGCGTGGACAGAGGTGGGGCCCCTTTGGCTTTCTCGGTGGCTAACAGGACTCTACCTGCCGCCAAGACCTAGACAACAAGGTTCTCCTAAGTAAGAAGGCATTAGGGCCCAGATAACTCCCCAAATGACAAATGTCTACTACACTTAGTCCATTCAGGGGGTTGTAACAGAGCACCATGGTCTGGGTAGCTCCTAAACAGCAGAAATGTGTTCCTCACCGTACTGAAGTCCGGGAAGTCCAAGATCAAGGTGCTGGCAGATCCAGTGTCTGGTGAGGACCTGTTTCCTGTGTCATCAATGGCCACCTTTTCACTGTTTTCATGTGACAGGAGAGACAAAGGAACTCTCTAGGGTCTCTTTTATAAGGGCACTGATTGCATTTATGCGGGTTCCACATTTATTACCTCATTGTCTCCCCAAAGCCCCACCTCCACATACCATCACCTCCACTGGGGATTGGGTTTCAACATATGAATTTGGGGTGCGGTGGGGGACACAAACATTCAGTCTTGTCCCTACAGTGGGGATAAGAATTTCTACCGATCCTATGCAAAGTACGTTTCAACTATGGGGGGCTACTAGAAGCTTCCCGAGCATGAACACGCGCCTTCATACCTCTGTTGTTTCTTCTGTCTGAAATGTCATCCTTCTGGATGTGTCTCGGGACCTTCTACTCAGTCTTCAGTAACTGGTGTGCTAATCCTGGGCCTGTTCCCTTCATCCATTTTTTTGTCTTCCTCTGCTCTGTTCTGCACTGGAAGGGACTGACCTTGGAGGGCTGTGTTTTTGAGACGTGGTTGCTTTAGGCCAATGGGAGGCAGTAGCAGAAGAGGTTAGGGCAGGAAGAATAAAGAAACCTATTATACCCTTTTCCTTGGGCGGTATCTTTGGTCCCGGCTGTGTTTCTTCTTTCTGGAAGGCCTTCCTTGGTTCTAACTTCTGCCAGGTGACCTTAAACCCTGAGCTTCATTAATGCCAACTATTCTCTTCGACCCTCTGGCCTAGAGATGCTCTCTGCTGTTGCTAATCCGTGGGTTGTCCCCCTGTCTTGTTTGGCTTCTTCGCAATTCCATAACTTGCGGTTCCTGCTCTTGTTTCTATGTCACAAATTATCCCCAAGGTCAGGGGCTTAAAACAACCATTCTATGGGTCAGGGGTTTATAAAGGCACAGCCAAGATGCTTTATCTCTTGTCCACTCTGTCCGGGCCTCAGCGGGGAAGACAAACACTGGGGGTGATGTGACACCTGGGGGCTGCAGTGGTCAGAAGGTTATTTACGCACATGTCTGGTGTTTGGTCTGGGATGACTCAAAGGCTACGACCGCCGACCAGAGCACCCACACAGGGCTGCCCGGGGGACAGGGCTTCCTCACAGCACGACAGCCTGGGAGCAGTCCGTCCGCGTCCACAGGGGCTCCGGCTTCAAGGCCAGTGTTCCATCCAGCGACAAATGGAAGTCCCCTTTTATGTCCCGACTTCTGAACGGGCCCAGCATCTCTTTCCCCCTTCTCTGTTAGCTGAAACAGTTACCCACTGGCCCAGATTCAAGGGGCGTGGGCAAGTTGGGGGTACAGACCACAGCCTTCAATGAGAGGATGTCAAAGACGTTTGGGGTCATGTTTTAAAACCACCATAGCTGGGTTACCAATTTGCAGCATAAAACTGCTCCGTTCTCCTAGGTCTCCTCCGACCTAGAATGTTTTCTGTTTCCTTAGTTGGGCCCTGAATATGCAGCTCGGTTATTATTTGCTCTATTAAAATTCCTGAAATTCCCCTGTTAATGTTGGTGGCTCCCACCTTCGGGCTACCATGACTCACCATAACGTTTGGATAAACCATTCTAATCACTTACATCTTTCTCTCCCTCACTGGGACTGTGGGATCCTAGAGGGGCTGAGACTTAGGTAACTCAGTGTCTTCCATTCTCAGCACACGCCTGGAGCATGGTGGGCAATGATACATATTCAGTGATTGGACACATATTTTACTCCGACCCCACTGATCACCAGAACGATGCTGGACTCAATGCGTGGAGAAAACTGCCTGGAAGTGTCCAGAGCTTTGCGAAGACTTTGATCCCTAATATGAAGCGAAAGGGGTGAACTCAAATGATGGCAAGCCTTCACATGTAAAGAAAAGATAGCAGGTGGATGCAGAGCGTAAAGCAGGGGGCGAGGCAGGCCGGCGGCCAGTGTTTGCCCTGTTGAAAAGGCCGCCCTGTGCACAGCCCTGGCCAGTTCATGCTGCCTTTGAGGGAGACTGTGGCTCAGTGTTTCAAGAACTTCTGAGTCCGTAGGAGAAGCTAGAATTCTTCATTTTTGTTTTTAACAAGAGAAAAGCATACAATTTTAATTATAGTTTTTACATGCACATGGAGTCTTAAAAAACTTTTAACGGAACTATAGTTGACATGCAATATTATGTTAGTTTCCTGTGTACAACACAGTGATTCAACGATTATATACATTATGGGATGCTCACCACGGTGAAGTGTAGTGACTGCCACTGCGCGAAATTATTACATGTTATTGACAATATTCCCCATGCTGTGCTTTTGATCCTCGTGACTTACTTTATAACTGGGAGTTTGTACCTCTTAATCCCCTTCACCTACGTTGCTTGTCCCCCTGGCCCCCTCCTCTCTGGCAACCATTAGTTTGTTCTCTGTATTTATGAGTCCGTTTCTGGTTTGGTGTCATTGTTTTTTATTTGCTTGTTTATCCATTTGTTTTTAGACCCCACATATAAGTGAGATCATACGGTATTTGTCTTTCTCGGATTTATTTCACTTGGGACGTAGAAAGTGTTACATTAAGTAGAATCTTGACTTTTATATAATCTCCTGATTTTTAAGTGTTGTGAAGTAATTCAAAAATTTTAAAACTCTTGGGGCGCCTGGGTGGCTCAGGCAGTTAAGCGTCTGCCTTCG